GCACCGCATGACAAAGTTGGCCTCGATGCCCTTGGAGAGGGCGAGTACACCCGCGACGCCGAGGGCGTTCTCCGTCAGGTCGAGATGCAGGAGGGAGGCGGACTCGGGGAGGAACTCCGCGAGCGCGATGGCGCCGGGGGAGCCCATGCCTGTCGAGGAGAGAAACAGCCGCTTGAGGGCGGTATTGAGGGTGAAGGCCGTTCGGAGTGATTGGATCTATGTTTCGTCAGTCCATGCTCTCAGTGTACGGAAAGCACATACACCCTCAAGCCCTGGGCCCGAGCACGGGTTCCTCGACAGGTCGAGCGTCTCGAGACTGGAATTGTATTTCTACAGCCCATGTCAGAATCGGGCCGTGAAAGATAAGAAGTAGAAACGCACCAACGCCTCCGCCAAGCTGACGAGACACGCCACGTCGAGCTTGTTCTCCGCCAGATTGAGCACCTTGAGCGTCCGGTTCCGCTTCAGTACCTGCGCGATGTACGTGATGCCCGTCTGCGAACGAAGAGTTTGAGTACGAGAGTGACGGAAAAGCACGAAATCGACCCACCCTCAAATCATTCCCCCTCAAGTCCAGCGTCCTCAGCGCGCCTACCCTCGGCAACGCATCCAGCGCCCGCACCTTATCCAGCAACGCCGCGCTCGGCCCATCCCGCTCCCGCTCCCTCGCCGCCTCCCGCTCCTTCGCCTCCCTCTCCTTCGCCTCCCTGTCCCCGTAGATGGAGGACGCCGGCGACGACAACGACGACGCGGTAGTAGTCGGGGACGGCACATGCCTTGCCGTCACCCCACCCAGCACACTACTCGCCACCACCGCCCTCCCGGGCGGCGCTCCCGCCGCAGCGTTCGCAGTCTGCCGCCGCTTGGGCACATACGGCGTATACGTCGTCTGCGCGGCCGTGATGGTCTGCGCCGGATGGCGCGGCGGCGGCGCCGGCTTCCCCACCGGCGCCTGCGGACTGCTATTCAGCGCCCCCAGTCCGCCCAAGCCGAGCCCAATGCCCGAGTTCGGGCCCGTGGGCAGGACGGACGAGCCGTTCCCGCGGTGGTCGAGGTGGTGCGCCGCGATGGTGGGGCTGGATGGGACCGAGTTGTTGACGTGCGCGTGGCCGTGCGAGGCGGGCGTGGGCGCGGCGAGAACGTCGGGGTAGTCGCGGATCATGAGCGCGAGCGCGACGGCGCCCGTGGGCGAGATCTTGTTGTGCCGGAGCGAGATGTTGCGCAGCGTCGAGGTACGCACCGCGCGCGCTGTCGGCATATCATATCAGTCAGGCACCCGTTCTTCGAAGGCGCGGGGCAGGGACTCACACAAGCTCTCCAACGCCGCCGCTCTCAGGCCGCAATCGTCCAGCTTCAGCGACACCAATCCCTTCCGCTCAGTATGATCCCGCTCCTTGTCGTCCAACGCATAGCCGAGGCTATAGCGCACCTCGCTGCCGTTCATGTAGGACGTCGTCGCCGGGGTGGAGTATGGGTTAGAGCTATTCGGGGTGGAGGAGTAATCCCGGCTGTCGATGGAGGCGGAGTCGGATATGGAGACGAAGGATGCCGCGGAGGAGGTGATCCTGGCGAGAGGCGTATCAGTATCAGTAACGTCGAGTCAAGGAACGAAGAGTATAAAGTCAAGTAGGGCGGACAGCACACGCCATCGCCGACATCCTCAATGCGACGGACGTCACCTCCCCTCGTGAACTCTCTTTCTGCGCACGCCCACGAAAGAAAGTAACACTCACCGCTGCTCAGCGGGCACATACTCCACCAGCGCGCCCACGATGCACTCGACCGCCTTCTTGTCGAGCGGGTTCGAGGAGAGGTCGAGGAAGGTGAGGGTGTGGGCCTGCGGGTAAGGTGAGCGTCAGCATGGAGCTTGGAAGGTATGGACGGAGATGGGGAACGAGCTGGGGGAGCACAGGGCCGTCACGCAGACGATACCGTTAGAGACCTCGACGTCTACGGGTCACACGACCATCAGGCACCGACCAAGTCTCTGCCCGACCGAGCATGCTCGACGTCGACGTGACGCCGCCATTGCCACCGCGCATCGCACACACACACACACACATTCGCCCTCAAAACACCTCACGCACCTTCTCCAGATACGCCCCCACAACCCTCCACGCACCCCCCTTCAGCCTCCGATTCGCCGCCAGACTGAGGAAGGACAGGCTGCGCGGGATGAGCAGCGCGTGCAGCAGGGGCTTGAGCGTCTGTGAAGTACACGGTGGTTTAGCATCACGCTTCAGATTCGTAGAGAGAGGGTAGAGAGGGAGCGGAGGAAGAGAGGGAGCGGGTATTAGGAGAGAGGAAGGAGGAGGAGGAGGACGAAGAGAAGAGAAGCAAAGCAAAGAAAAGCGAGAATGAAAGGACGTGTCGTGTCGTGGCGGACAGATGGTAGACAGGATATGACCAGCGCGCGAAGGGGCGGTGCGAGGAGGAGGGTGGGTGGGTAGGCAGAGGACAGCAGACGCTCAGGTATGGGATGACGGGAGGAATGTAATGTAAAAATAAGAACGACGGGGTTCGGGATGATGGGATGCGCATCACGAAAAGAAGGATCCAAGGCGCCAAAGAGATGAAAAAAAAAAAACGAAGAGGAAGGGAAGGAAGAAGGAGGGACAGAGAGAAGCACTCACCAATTCCTCCAGATCACACTCCCGCCACACGACCCGTCGTAGGCCCCACTCGATGCTGAGGACGTCGGCGAGGATGGACGCCGATGCGGGGGTGAGCTGGACGCCCGAGAAGTCGACGGTGCGGCCGGTGCTGCCGGGGGTGTTTGGGGTGTTCTGGGAGGGAAGGATGTTAGCATGAGTAACGGGGGAGGGGAGGAGGGATGATAAGAAGGAGGCGGGGACGTCGGGGCACATCCCGCCCCGCCCGGCGCAAGGACGAGATGCATATGTGGCAGATACGAAGCGGGAAACCAAAACGCACCTTGAACGCAGCACATATGCCCTTATCCGGCGCCTCCTGGCAGCCCTCGCAGCACTCCCGATAGAAACTCTCGACCTTATCCATCGCCCACCACGTCTCGCTCTCGTCCGCGCCCTCCTTCGCCCCGCCAGTGCTGGCCGTCCGCACGCTCACCGCATCCCCACCCAAGCTCGGCGTCCCCGGCGCACTCCCGTACCCGCCACCGTTGCTGTTGTTGTTGTTATACGAATTCGACCGCACGACCCTCCGCCGCCGCTCCCTCTCCCGCTCCTCAATCGCGCGCTTCTCGTCCCGCAGGGTGGGCGTCGACGGCGGCGCCTGCGACGAGATCGGGTACACCACCGCGATCTCGGGCAGGATGAAGTGCGCGCGCTTGAGGAGGCGGGTCGACTCGGAGTCTTTTTCTTTGCTGCTTCCACTTCCACTTCCACTCCCCCCTGCGCCACCGCCGCCGCCGTACTCCCCGTGCCCATTCGCCGAAGAGGAGGAAGAAGAGGTGGAAGTGATGGGCGGCGTATTGGAGCGCAGGAAGCCGCCGAGGCCGATGCGGCTGAGGAGGCTTGCCTGCGGGGCTGGCGGCTTCTTGAGGATGCTGCGCCCCGGGATGGGGATTGTGACGGCGGAGGAGGAGGGCGAGGGAGAGGAGGGGCCCAGTGAGGGCGAGTGGAGCGACATTCCAGGTGCAGCGATTCCAGGGAGATCCGTTTAGAGCATGCAAGCCCGGAAGAGACTCGGTTTTTTTTGCTGATTTTTCTGGCAGCGAGGGGGACCGTAGGGGGTGTTAAGATGTGAGATCCAGCGACCCGGGAAGGAGGCAGAAAGCCAGGGATTGGGGTCGGGCGTCTACGGCGAGGAGGAGGAGCTATCAGGTAGCAGCGTTAGACTTTGTTTGGCGGTGGCGTCTGCCGTGATCCAGACCATGTGGCGACTGGCGGTTGGTTGAAACTGGCCGATAGGCTTTTTAGGACGGTGAAGAAAATTGCTGGTCGGGAAAAAGACGCACAAGCAAATTGTGAACAAAGTGACGAAAAAACGCACCAATTGAATTGTTGAACGACCCAACCTCGAATCGAACGAGAGCTCCCTGGTCTGAAGTTAGGACCGAATTATGCAGGTGAACGAGCTACCAGGTCCATGCTAGTAAGTCTTCTCATCATCTCGAGTAGGGTAACATTTTTCCCCTCTGCCAGGCTTTCGCGCTCGGAGAATTCCGGTAGTAAACGTCGCAGCAAATGTCAATGACGAAGTTCAGGAAATTTCGCAGGGAAGAAATCAAGTTCGTAGAGCTCAAGGAGGGAGAAAGTGGGGCGAGGGATGGAAGAATGTATGTCCACGAAATAAAAAACGCCATTCACATCTCAACACACGACCCAACCCCGATTCGAACAAGGGATCTCCTGCTAACCGCCATCGGATACCTCACCCTCTCGGTTCGCATCTGAGGTACATAGAGTTCCACAGTCCGGATCGAACAGGGATCTCCTGCTGGCCATGAAGAGACCGGGAGCCCAAGCACATTAAACAGGCGCACTGACATTGTGCTATTGGTTCACTTCTAAAGTAAACTTCAACCTGAGTGAACTATGCATGAACAGTAGGTAAGGTGGGCGAAGTTGAAACGGCAGCGGAGGACAGAATAAGTGTGATGTAGGTCGGGCGCGAGAAATTGATCCATATGCATGGATCCATATGTATTAGATCTCAGAAGGAAAATTGTCTTTGAAGTCGCCTATGACCCAACCCCGAATCGAACGGGGATCCCCTGCTGAGCATTGTTACAGTCTGAGACTGCACTGGAAATTGTGCTCACCTCAATGAATGGACCATGTCTGGTTCAATAGTTTCAACCAAATGACCTCCCTGGGGCGAGATGGCGGGTTGAAAATAGATCAACATGGAGAGCGGGTGAAAAACAGCCAGTAACGTCAATGGGCCAAGTCGAAAACGAGGCAGGGAGAACAAACACTTGAAGAGCTCAGGAAATGAAGTGGGCAGGAGGAATTGAGCCACATGAACGGCGAAGACGTACCTAAAATAAAATAAAACCAGTGTCGGGAGTTGGCGAATGAACCAACCCCGAATCGAACAGGGATCTCCTGCTAGCCGTGTAGGGAGGAGAAACCTCGGCACATTGAACACGCGCACTGACAATGTGCTATTGGTTCACTTCTAAAGCAAACTTCAACCTGAGTGAACTATGCATGACCAGAATGTAGAGTCGGCCAAGTTGAAAACGAGCGCTAGCTAGCGGAGAACGGGATAATTGTGAAGGCCTCAGAGAGGGAGGACGGCAGGCGGATTCGAACCACATGAACGATGGAGATGTGCCTACAAAATAAATAAAATCGAGCGATCCGCCAGCACATGGATGACCCAACCCCGAATCGAACGGGGATCAACCGCTGAATGACTTCGAGAAGCTGTCGAATTCATGTGGGCGCACTGACATTGTGCTATTGGTTCGCCATCTACAGAGTGCTTCAAACCTCAATGAGCCATGCGTGTAAAGTTGGCCCAGCTGGAAACAATTAAAGGCGGCGGAGCACAATATAAGTGTGAAGATCTCAGGGCGGGAAGTGGGAACCAGAACTTGAACCATCTCAACCGCGAACAAAATAAGAATGACAGGCGCACTAACGTTGTGACATTGGTTCACCCCATGCAGGATCTCAATGGATTATACATGGCCGAAAAATTTCTTTGCTTTAGCCTTTCTCTGTGCGTCGAGATGGAGGGCCTAAGGTTGAAAGGGACGGTATAGAGACAGCTCGGAGAGCTGTAATCCAGATGTGTTAAACCCATGCTCAGCGTCGAAGCCTCGCATGTAAATTTCGGGTGAGAATGAACCCGACAAGACAGCCTAGGGAGGAAGGGACAGAGCGCTACCTATTAAACAAATTGCATTCACGACCGTCTTTAGACGATCATACCGTCTCATCCAATTCCAACTCAAGACAAAGAATCTGCGAGCCTGAACGATTCATAAGCCAGGATCGGCCAAAGAAAAATGCGAAAACACGCACGGTCCACCGTCCCCGCCCGCCTCGCAGCGATAAGCCTTTCAGCACGCCCCCAATAATCGTCCCCGACAGCCGCGCCGCGAATCAAAGACCGCGTCGTCGTCCCCCCTCTAGGCAGCTCGACCGCAACACAGCGCTCGTCGCCCAACAGCGTGTCGAGATACCCCTTCGCGGCCCACGCCGCGGCCCCACCCCGCCACAGCAGGTACACCACACACCGCAGTTGTACGCCGTCACCCATGGCCAGGAGCTCGGGGAGGAAGTTGAGCACGGGGGCGTCATGGAACGCGAGGTGCGTGAGGCGGGGGAGGAGGTTCAGGTGCTCGGCGAAACTCCCGTGGTTCGGGGGGAGCTCGAGGTGCGTGATGTTGCGGAACGCGGGGTGCGCCAGGCTCGATCGGACGTCCCTCCACTCTATCCAGTCCAGACTCGCTGTGAGGACGTGTAGTCCGTCCAGCGTCGCCAGCGCGGCGAGCTGCGCCGGGTCCTTGATGTGTCCGCTGGAAAGGGTTGTAATCCCGGTGCAGGCGCGGAGGATGGTGTTCACTGCGAAGGAGTCCATCGGACCCATGGCTGGATTCAGCAGGAATAGATGGCGGACTGAGGAGGCGAAGAATGCTGCGGGTTTTGATGCGATTCGGTCGAGGAGAGTGGTTGCGCGGATGGGTGGGATGCCGTCCCATAGTACCCTGGTCGCGGTAACGATGAGTATACGATACAAGAGTGGCTCGATCCTGGAATATCTGGTGAGTCAACGAGCTCCAGATACAACTGTATGTGCGACGTACCAGTGCTTCACCCGCCAAGCTACACGCAACAGCGGTGGGGCGTGGCTGGGCTCGGAGCGAGCCAGTAGTTCGAAGATTGTGCGCTCGAGGTCCTGGGGGAGTCTGGGATCCGTTCGCGCAGCCATTGGAGATGAAGGGCAGAATGAAGGCTGTTAAACGCCATGTCAGCAATCACAGATCGGCGCATCACGAAATGTTGGAACTCCGACAAGTTCAACTTTGGTTTCCAAAAAACAAAAAAAGGGGGCGCGTGCGGCGTACTTGGGCGAGCGTCACTGTTTCAGATATCACCGCAAACATGATAGCCATGCGCTCGTTCGATTTCTGGCGAGCCTCTCTGATATTAAAGATGTCCTTGTATTCACTCGGTTTAAACGATCATTGATGACCCTACTTTTGAACTTGACGACCTTGTTCAAGACCTCGATACCTTGTTCTCTCCTTGAGATGGTTCTGGAGCCCTAAGCGTGCAGCCGAGCGTAAACGTATAAAAGAAACGACTTCCCAGTCATCCCCTCGGCTCCTCCCCGACTCCCCTCTTCTACGAGTTTTCTCTCCCCCCCTGGCCAGCTGCAGTCCAGCATTGAACAGATTGAATCAGCCGCCGGTGCGTCTGCCAGGGCTCTCTACACCGTCGCTCATATCTTGCAGAACATGAGCGACGCGCCGATTAACCGCAATATATCCGGAAGCAAACCAAAGGCAGTCGACCCCACCCGCAGCATGATGCAGAATTATCTGAATCTCCTTCGTGCGACCAAACCAAACGAAGAGGACTCTGCCTCGCAGCTTGATCAGTAAGTTCGGTTGAACAACTACATAGGTCCTGCATCTCCCCTGATAATCGAAACTCACAGATCGGCGATGTCGACTGAGTTCCAATCCCAGGGCCTCGTGGTTGCACAGGAAGATAGCGGCTCTAACATATCGTGCGCCTCTTCTCCCCCCACAAGTGTATACTTACCATGAACACAGCAACTCCGAGTCGGCGTCAATCGGCGTCGGGATGGGTACCGGGAATCTCAACCAGGCGAACCTCCCTCGTGAAGACACTTCTTTTGATTGGGATAGCAGCGACTACGAGTGAGGTGGTACAACAATAAATCATGATCGGGCAGCTAAATCCCTCGTGCAGCTCATTCCTCAAGGTACGATTCGGTTGCAGTGTGTGTTTTGAAGAGGCTAACCCTGTCGCCCGTCCCCAGGATCCATTTTACACGTTCGTGTTTTCTGCAAGCGTCCTTGGAGTGATACTTACTCAACAATATCAATCCTCAGCGGGCCGACGGAAGAAGCAGGGCTGTACGATGACTTCAGCGTACCGGAGCAACCTCAGTCAGTGCTGTTTCATTTTCGCTGAGTGCTCCCCGCCTTCTGATGCACATATGATATGTGTGTAGGGATTTGGATTTGGTTTATTGGCTGTTTGGCCCTATGGTTGGGGAGCTAGAGTTCCCAACACATGCCCAGCTGCTTTTGACCAATTGAAAGCGCCGAGATGCTCGGGTAGTAACTATCATTACACTGGCAATATAATACTCGATCCATACGCGCCAGCACGTAGAATTACGCCCCAAATTATACACCCACGCCCGACAAAACGTCTCCGAAGCGTCGAGCACACATAACCGCTAAACCCGACTCCCCATCGCGTACGGGTAAGCCGCGCTACTCGGCGGGTACGCCCGCAACGGAATCGCCGTCGGAACCTCCGCGAACCACCCCGAGTCCGACTGAACCTTCATGATCCCCTGGTCCGCCTGCGCGTGCAAGTTGAGCATCATCCTCGACATCATCGTTATCGAGATGCTTCAGGTAAGTGCGATTCAGCCAAAAGAAGAGAAGACAAGGGAAGGAAGAACTTACCAGTTCCCCAGCGTCGCGAAGGTGCCTGGCAGGATTGGCTGTGAGGGTGCTTTGTTGGCGGGGAAGTTGGGATAAGTAAGAAGGCGGAGGGCGCACCGAGTCATCGTTTCCCTGCGCCGAGCGTCAGCGATGGAACGACGTTGGATGGGAGGGAACCGCTTACGACTAGGGTGAGCACGTTAGCTAGGTTCGATATGACCAATACTCTGTCAGCGATGAAGATTTAAGCTGCTGTCTGCGGGCGGAAGTTTGCCTGTTTTGACGCACCCAAAATACAAGATTCCTATACCGTAGCATTATCAGTGATGCAAGAGGATGAACGTACATAGGTGGGACAAACCATCACGGAGTATAATCTGATGCAGCGCCATCGGCGAATGACTCCCCAGCTTGCGGCGCATAGCAATTCCGTGGTAGAGGGTTAGTCCGAAAATGAGCGTGTCGAATGCGTAGAGGACGGCCCAGGAGAGGGCGAAGCCTTGGCGGCACAGTCTTTCAGTAAGTACACGACGGAAGTGTTCCGAGGGAACGTACGATGGGCGCTGGGAGGAGAAGGTTCAGTCAGACGACGCTTCCTATGCTGAAGAATTGAGACTTACGTCGATGGGGCTAGACGAGGATGGCAGCCCGGGAGAACTGAACCAAGCTTGGGATGCATGTAGAAAATTTGATGTTCAACCACGCACCCGTCATCAACGACCCCTGCTGCCCCTGCGTCGTCCACTTTCCCCCATATCAAACACTGCATTGATGATTAACGCAGCTCGACCACGCACCACCGAGAACCCCATTAACAGGACCGAAACCACGCCCACGAGCCAGAGTATCCGTCTGCTGCGGTTGTACAGCGCGTACATCCGCAGACCAAGGACGACTTCCCGGTCGTTAGTTTGTTTACGGAGGGGAGTGAATTATGCGTACTACAAATGACCCATTGCATGAAGAGGATGATGTAGGAGTAGCCGACGCTCCATTGCTGGCAGCTACATGACTTCAGTTAACGTGTTGCTGAGAGAATGATAAGCCTTCCTGAACGTACCCCTGCGAAGGTCAGCTCGACTACGCTCGCCGAAGGCGGTAAACAGAGGAAGTGCTCACGAGGGGGGATAGGGTAAGAAATTGGAACGCCGCCGCCGGGATATTGCTGGCCAATCCAAAGTATCGAATAAAAAAGAACGAATATGCGCTGGCGAATTTGCGGCGGTTCCAAAGACAGCGAATCTCCGTATCTGCGTACCGGGGGAGCTATACTCAGCACCGAGAACCGATAATGCGGCCGCCGGCCGTGTTGGATACCTAATGTTATAATATGGTCATACACCAAGAAGGCTTGGGAATTGGGAGTCAGAGTGGGGTTTTGGAGTAGAAAGCAATAGCCTACCGAACCCGACGAGGTGGACTTCATTTTGAATTGTTCTGTCGTCGTAGATGTCAACACGAGGGAGCGGTCTGCAGGAATGAGTACGCACATTTGCCAGGCCTCCTTGGCGA